ATTCGCACTGCGTAGAGTTTACTGTGTGTGTGTGTGCGTGTGTGTGATGGATACTATATGCTGACGTCGTGCGAGGATACGTACGCTGATTGGACACTACGTTTTCTGAAGCGAGTTCCAGTCGGAAACAACGGTTAACATAAGAAATCCAAACCAGATTGATAAAAGCCACAGGTCTGGCCAGTTTCGTAATGTATTCAGAGACCTTTAAATCGCATAACGTAATCGGAAGGTCGGACAAGCAAAGAACTCGCGGTGCGTAGCAGACTACACTTTGCGTGCATACCATACATGACTGTGTTCGCTAGGTATGATTGTATCGTTTGTTTTCGCTATTTTGAGAGAGAGAGAGAGAGAGAGAGAAGAAAAAGGAGGCAGTTTCAAACTTGAATAATAAATATCTTTGAGATGTGATTTTGTTCTTCATACATTTGATCTTTAAAATCGCTGAGTCTTAGGCAAGAATAATAGAAAAGCATTGCTGGTACAGAACTAGCGATTCACATCTTGCAGCTAAACCTGTTCGGCCAAGTCCCCGGTACAGGCAGCGCACGATACCCCCTCAAAAAGAAGAAAAACGAGGTCGATGATACAAGCGATATTGGCTTGAAAGCCAGTGATAAGACAGAAAGCGAAGCACCAAAATATAAGTTAGCTAGCCGATATCGGTAATTTCCATTCAATTTTGCATTTACCTTAGCTTGAATCTGAGTACAAATTAGGACGTAGAAATGAAAGAAGTGATGAACTATTTTCCACTCGTTCGCACACACAGTCACCTCTGCTTGCAGACGCGTGCGCGCGGACCACGTGTTCGTGTAGGCGCGATTCACATTTTCAAAATGAAAACAATTTTACGGATTAAAAAATGTTTGTGAAACGCCTCGATACGGACTATTTCAAGGGGGACGAGAAACGGCTAACGAGATCGAACCAAGCACTGACCGCAGAATCAATATTATTAACAAAAGCAACGAGAAATAATGACAATAAAGGTAATAATATAATATATAAGGTCTTTGTTAATAAAATAATATTTATAAAATAATATCGTCCGATGACAGAGAGCTAGAATAAGAATGATGAATAATGATAAACAAATAATTTTGAACGGAAAAAATGAAGAAAAACAATGAACAAGGAAAAAGAATGTTAGAGCAATGGAAAAAGGGAATAATAAAAGTAATAAAAAAAAAAACTTATGATGGCAAGGAAGAAGAATCAGGATGATGAATAATTTTATTGTTTAGAATAAGATTAGGAATTAAGTTTGATTTTCATAAAATAAAAGTTAATAGTCTAGCATTAGACTACAATTATGCCGAACCTTTGTTATTCAACTTCAAGAAGCAATTATTATTATTTTAAAAAAAAACATTTAAAAATAAAACTGTTATTACATTTTCTATTAGATCTAGACTAGTCTAGACTTCTACTTTTTATTTGTTTATTATTTATATATTTGTTCTTTTTGTTCAAGTTGGTATGTTCTGTCTTTTTGCGTCGGTTTGACCTGTATAATCTAGTCACAAGTCGCTATCATAAGCTGCCGAGAGCTAACTAGAGGGAGGATTGTACTCGAGCTTTTCTAGGCCACATAATATGGCCATCGGGAAATATCAATCGAAAGTCTTCAAAACCTTTAAAAGCCTTCAGTTTTCGACGATCATAAATGCATGGTCCGCCATATTCTCTATTAGATAATTGAATACGTCATAGGTCCCAAAGTCAGGAATATCGTCAAACTTAAGGGAGGTATGTAACTAGTTCACTTAACGAAAATCCTGCCCGTTGTAATTTCCCGATACAGTCACGTCTACCGAGTGACACGGAGCCCGTGGGTCATGGGCTACGGGCGGGCTAGTCCGCTACTGCGGACGCTAATTTAACGAGTCTTTTCTCGGGTGTATACCGTAGTCGAAACTCCTCTTTTTCTTAGAAAATATTGCAGCTGCCTGAAACTCAGCTTGATGAATGGCAAGTTGGAAGACATTTCCGGCCAAAACAGAAATTCATATATATACACGCAGTTTTTATAGAAAGATATGAATGCAATTTAACGGCAAGAACCGACAGTCTAATACACAATGCACAGATTCAAAATGGTGATTTGACAAAGCTTGTCGGGCTTGGTTACAGTAACCGCGCATTACGTAACCGCCGAAACTGGCCTATTCCGTGCGTTCATTCAGGTTTTCGCGATTAGTCTCTTTTTAGTCGCTCGGCGTCTATCAGGCATGTGGCCTTGTTTAAAGGCTACTTCTGCTTTCGCTTAAAAACGGGGTAAAGCAGAAACATGGATACTTCTCTGCAGTTTGATAATGTCACAATACAAATCCCAATCTGCTATTCTTGATATGAGATTGTTAACAAAGTGTGACTGTACCCACAGCTAGTCACGTGTTATTCACCTTCTAAATATGTTTGTTTTGTTTGATATGATTTCTCTCCTCTTTGTAGTTAACTGTACTGGTGACCCATGCATGAACGGAGGTACCTGTGAGAACAGAGCATGTACATGTCCTGCTCCTTTTACTGGATCGTTGTGTCACGAAGGTATGACAATATATCATTATCACTGTCGGATCCAAGTGGGCACTAATCGGCACCCAAACCCTTTTTCACGGCCTAAAAAGGGGTCGGAGCCAGAGAGAATGACAAAAGAAAATAAAGAGAAAATGATATTTTAAGGCCACAGAGACAATAAGAGGAAAAGCACCGCAGAGCGATAGAAAGACAAAAAAGAAAAGAACGATTAAAACAATCCCAACTCTAAGATTCGGGTCGGCAAACGTATTGGAAGCCACTGCAAGCTTTGCGTGATAGTATAACAACTAGACATTAAATTCGTCACGGAGACGAATTGGGTGATCTGCTTCTTTGATCGAGACACAATACATGTAGAAACTCGGTGGGAAATTTGGCCTTTAAGAACAAATCCACCCTCTACTCATATAACACACCTAGGCCTATGTACAAGCTTTCTTGTGGTACTGCGAGATAGGTATTTTGTATAGTCACGCAACTGATACCAGACTGATTTGGAGACGTATTGAATTTGTTGAGTTGAAAAGCACACCGAGGTTACGAAAGATATGAATAAACAGCAATAATATGGCTAGCACGGGTGATCGAAGTAATATTTGAATGAATCTTGGAAGTCCTAATTGGTACAATACAAACATGTTGTAAGATAAATTTTCAAGGAAGTGTGAGTTGAATAGATTATGAACATCCTGTAGACAATGGATTATAGATTGCTTTGGTAAGTTTGAATGAAGTGAGTGGTCAGGTTTGGATGAAGTTTTAAGAATGGTATAAGTACATCATGAAACTTACGATTAATTAAACATCCTTTACAATTTGACAGTCCAGACATTCAAAACTGCGTAATCCGAACGACGTAACCTGAACATTATCTGAACAAGTTTTAATTATTTGAGTTATCAACGGTCAACATCTTTTCTTTCAACGTTCATGAATCATCCGTAAGATCGTTTTGACGCTCAACTAATTTTGATTTATTTGTACTTGAGAGATTTCTGACCGATGTATTTACTGTACGAAACAGAAATCTTAAAAATTAAAAGACTAATGTTTGCAATTCTCCAATTTTCGATCACCTAATTTCTGGACCAACGTCAGGAACTTGTTACCTTTGTTATACTAGGGAAGTTTGACATAAGAAATCAAACAACATTAAACGACAGTGATGAAAAATAAAAAGAGAGCAACTGGAGATATATGCCGAAATATTAAAAAGTAAAGAAGAGTAATCATAGTGATAGCAGTGTAGAATAAATCACACTTAAAAAGAGAACGTTCTATCTATTAAAATATCAACAATAAAAACAAAGGTACACTGTCGCTCATAAAGTTGGAATATTTTTGTTTTTCCCCAATTTGTGGAATTATTTAAAAAATAATTTAAAAATAATAGATCTACATAATAGTATACATTCTTTAATGCCCTACAAAAGGGCACTAATAAAGCACATCGACACAAATCCTCTTGGCGGCCATGCATTACGGCTAAAGGCATGGGCAAACCGAGGATTTTTTATGTTGGGGACAGAGGTAAAGTGCAATGAATTATTGAAAAGTTATTACATTTTCTGTTTTGTTTTTTTTAATTATGGAAACTGCCCCCTACCCTAGCCCCCACTGCGCACAGTCATGGTTCAGTGACAAAGCAATGGCCTCGTAACTGTGAGGCCCCAGGATCAAAACCGTGTCGATGTGCTTTATTAGTGCCCTTTTGTGGGGCATTAATCCTCATTACTGCCATTTATGAATTAAGGGCGTAGGTCCCCTAGTTGATAAGCATAGTAGCATACACATGCTTTAGCAGTCACGCAAAACACACATTGTCAAATTATTATTCAATTAAATCTAAGAATGTATACTATTATCTAGATCTATTATTTTAAATTATTTTTAAAACAATTCCATTAATTGAGGAAAAACAAAAATATTCCAACTTTATGAGCGACAGTGTATGTGCAACTAGTGATTGGAGATGCATTCTGAGATAACAATAAAAGGTGTGGTAGGAACAGGTGCCAGTAACCGATCCCGATATAGGGACACCGAGGAAGAACATATCAATGTTGTTGGTTGATCTGAAGGGGTTGATCTCTCGATCTTCATTTTATTTTTTTCTTGAATAGTCTTTGTATGACATTTGAGTGTTTTGTTCTTATATGTTTAAGATGTTAGTATTCGTATTTAATGATCGTAAATAAAACCAAATCAAACCATATACCAATCCCATTCCCATCACCACTGGCCCCGCGTAAAAACGGGGTAAAGCAGAACATGGATACTTCTCTGTAGTTTGATAATGTCACAATACAAATCCCAATCTGCTATTCTTGATATGAGATTGTTAACAAAGTGTGACTGTACCCACAGCTAGTCACGTGTTATTCACCTTCTAAATATGTTTGTTTTGTTTGATATGATTTCTCTCCTCTTTGTAGTTAATTGTACTGGTGACGACCCATGCATGAACGGAGGTACCTGTGAGAACAGAGCATGTACATGTCCTGCTCCTTTTACTGGATCGTTGTGTGACGAAGGTATGACAATATATCATTATCACTGTCGGATCCAAGTGGGCACGAATCGGCACCCCAACCCTTCTTCACGGCCTAAAAAGGGGTCGGAGCCAGAGAGAATGACAAAAGAAAAGAAGAGAAAATAAAGAGAAAATAATATTTTAAGGCCACAGAGAAAATAAGAGGAAAAGCACGGCAGAGCGATAGAAAGACAAAAAAAAGAAGAAAAGAACGATTAAAACAATCGCCACTCTAAGATACGGGTCGGCAAACGTATCGGAAGCCACTGCAAGCTTTGCGTGATAGTATAATAACTAGACATTAAATTCGTCACGGAGACGAATTGGGTGATCTGCTTCTTTATTCGAGTCACAATACATGTAGAAACTCGGTGGGAAATTTGGCCTTTAAATACAAATCCACCCTCTACTCATATAACACACCTCAAGCTCATTTGGTAATCAAGGATGTAGAAAGAGTAGAAATGATTTCGCTGACTGTTGTTTGGTACAACATTGTTACCATCAACTTAATGACAGGAATAGACGAACAAACAACAAAATAACGTGTCGTTAATAAACTTTTAGTACTGTCCTGTACTAAATATGTATTATAGGAATAGGTCGGATCGTACAGAGCAGCAAGAAAGGAAATGAACCGATTGGGAATAGTAAGAACCAAGAGGCATTCATCGAATCTGACCATTAAAAACACAAAGGCAAGACTGCATGTCTAGATTTACGACCCAGCCAAGTATCATGTTTTGACGGCAGTTTGGGTGGGTTGGTGAAAAGAATAGTGAGTAGAGTGAGTGTTAATCGGCCGACTACCTAATAACACAGAGTCAATGAGAAAGCAGAACATATATGTGAAGTGCCAGCTCTGATGACAACTGGCCAATCAGTGCGCAGTCACAATGAGCCTTGCCCAAGAATGTTTGTTCTTCACAATATGACATTCAAGTAAGATATGGGTACCTGATTCTTACAAATTTACAATTATTTTTCCATTTCCTGGGTTTGGGTTTGGGTTTTGGTTTAGCGTTTGGTAAACTGTTTGGGCCATAGTTGAAGTAATCTGAACGACGTAATTTTGAACATTATTTGAACAAGTTTTAAGTTATTTGAGTTATCAACGATCAACATTTTTTCTTTCAACGTTCATGAAATGATCCGTCAGATCGCTTTGACGTTCACTTAACTTTTGATTCATTTTAACTCGAGAGGTTTCTGACCAATGTATTTGCGAAACAGAAAAATTAAAAATTAAAAGACTATTAAATGTTTGCGAGTCACCTAATTTCACGATCAACGTCAGGAACGTGTTACCTTTGTCATACTCGGGAAGTTTGACATAAGAAATCAAACAACATTAAACGACAGTGATGCAAAATAAAAAAGATAGCAACCGGAGGTACATTCCAAAATATTGAAAAGTAAAGAAGAGTAATCATGGTGATAGCAGTGTAGAATAAACCACACTTAAAAAGAGAACGTTCAATTGAAATATCAACAATCAAAGCAAAAGTATGTGCAATTAGGGATGGGGAGCATTCTGAATGTAAAGGAGATAACAATGAAGGGTGTAATAGAAACGGGTTTAACCGATCCCGACTCATATATGGACCCCGAGGAAGAACATATCGTATGATCGGAAGTGGTTGATCTCTCGATCCTCATTTTAATTTTTGTTTTCTGGAATAGTCTTAGATGATATTTGAGTGTTTTGTTCTTATATGTTTAAGATGTTAGTATTTCATATTTAACGATCGTAAATAAAACCAAATCAAACCATATACCAATCCCATACCCATCAACCCTGCCTCCGCGTAAAAACGGGGTAAAGCAGAACATGGATCCTTCTCTCTAGTTTGATAATGTCACAATACATATCTCAATCTGCTATTCTTGATATAAGATTGTTAACAAAGTGTGACTGTACTCACAGCTAGTCGCGTGTTATTCACCATCTTAATATGTTTGTTTTGTTTGGTATGATTTCTCTCCTCTTTGTAGTTAACTGTACTGGTGACCCATGCATGAACGGAGGTACCTGTGAGAACGATAGATGTATATGTCCTGCTCCTTTTACTGGATCGTTGTGTGACGAAGGTATGACAATATATCATTATCACTGTCGGATCCAAGTGGGCCCGAATCGGCACCCAAACCCTTTTTCGCGGCCTAAAGAGGGGTCGGAGCCAGAGTTCAAGGTCGAGAATCGTGAGGAGACAATGTGCAGATGAGTTTTTAAAGGCCATCTGTCCTACTTGTAGCTACTTGCTCCCTTTATATAGAAAACTTCCCCAATCGGTGCCTGTTGGTCCCCCATGATCCGCTTTTTCTTATGTTAAATGAGAGCTGAGTTAATGAGATAGCCAAGTGTCACAGTGACCTCGCTGGCTGGCTGTGTGGTCTAATCCCTTCTGGCTGAAGAAGTAAAGCCTACCTTTAAAAGAAAGAAAATGAACCGATGGGGAATAGTAAGATGTTTTTTTTTTTCGTATTTAATGATCGTAAATGAAACCAAATCAAACCATATACCAATCCCATTTCCATCACCACTGGCCCCGCGTAAAAACGGGGTAAAGCAGAACATGGATCCTTCTCTGTAGTTTGATAATGTCACAATACAAATCCCAATCTGCTATTCTTGATATGAGATTGTTAACAAAGTGTGACTGTACCCACAGCTAGTCGCGTGTTATGCACCTTCTAAATATGTTTGTTTTGTTTGATATGATTTCTCTCCTCTTTGTAGTTAACTGTACTGGTGACCCATGCATGAACGGAGGTACCTGTGAGAACGGAGCATGTTCATGTCCTGCTCCTTTTACTGGATCGTTGTGTGACGAAGGTATGACAATATAACATTATCACTGTCGGATCCAAGTGGGCACGAATCGGCACCCAAACCCTTTTCAAGGCCTAAAAGGGGTCGGAGCCAGGGAGAATGACAAAAGAAAAGAAGAGAAAAAGATATTTTAAGGCCACAGAGACAATAAGAGGAAAAGCACCGCAGAGCGATAGAAAGACAAAAAAGAAAAGAATGATTAAAACAATCCCAACTCTAAGATTCGGGTAGGCAAACATATTGGAAGCCACTGCAAGCTATGCGTGATAGTATAACAACTAGACATTAAATTCGTCACGGAGACGAATTGGGTGATCTGCTTCTTTGATCGAGACACAATACATGTAGAAACTCGGTGGGAAATTTGGCCTTTAAGAACAAATCCACCCTCTACTCATATAACACACCTAGGCCTATGTACAAGCTTTCTTGTGGTACTGCGAGATAGGTATTTTGTATAGTCACGCAACTGATACCAGACTGATTTGGAGACGTATTGAATTTGTGAGTTAAAAAGCACACCGAGGTTACGAAAGATATGAATAAACAGCAATAATATGGCTAGCAAGGGTGATCGAAGTAATAGATATTTTATTTGAATGAATCTTGGAAGTCCTAATTGGTACAATACAAACATGTTGTAAGATAAATTTTCAAGGAAGTGTGAGTTTAATAGATTATGAACATCCTGTAGACAATGGATTATAGATTGCTTTGGTAAGTTTGAATGAAGTGAGTGGTCAGGTTTGGATGAAGTTTTAAGAATGGTATAAGTACATCATGAAACTTACGATTAATTAAACATCCTTTACAATTTGACAGTCCAGACATTCAAAACTGCGTAATCTGAATGACGTAACCTGAACATTATCTGAACAAGTTTTAATTATTTGAGTTATCAACGGTCAACATCTTTTCTTTCAACGTTCATGAATCATCCGTAAGATCGTTTTGACGTTCAACCAATTTTGATTTATTTGTACTTGAGAGATTTCTGACCGATGTATTAACTGTACGAAACAGAAATCTTAATAATTAAAAGGCTAATGTTTGCAATTCTCCAATTTTCGATCACCTAATTTCATGACCAACGTCAGGAACTTGTTACCTTTGTTATACTCGGGAAGTTTGACATAAGAAATCAAACAACATTAAACGACAGTGATGAAAAATAAAAAAGAGAGCAAATGGAGATATATGCCGAAATATTGAAAAGTAAAGAAGAGTAATCATGGTGATAGCAGTGTAGAATAAACCACACTTAAAAAGAGAACGTTCTATCTATTAAAATATCAACAATCAAAACAAAGGTACACTGTCGCTCATAAAGTTGGAATATTTTTGTTTTTCCCCAATTTGTGGAATTATTTAAAAAATAATTTAAAAATAATAGATCTACATAATAGTATACATTCTTTAATGCCCTACAAAAGGGCACTAATATAGCACATCGACACAAATCCTCTTGGCGGCCATGCATTATGGCTAAAGGCATGGGCAAACCGAGGATTTTTTTATGTTGGGAACCAAGGTAAAGTGCAATGAATTATTGAAAATTTATTGCATTTTCTGTTTTTTTTTAAATTTATGGAAACTGCCCCCTACCCTAGCCCCCACTGCGTACAGTCATGGTTCAGTGACAAAGCAATGACCTCGTAACTGTGAGGCCCCAGGATCAAAACCGTGTCAATGTGCTATATTAGTGCCCTTTTGTGGGGCTTTAATCCTCATTACTGCCATTTAAGACTTAAGGGCGTAGGTCCTCTAGTTGATAAGCATAGTAGCATACACATGCTTTAGCAGTCACGCAAAACACACATTGTCAAATTATTATTCAATAAAATCTAAGAATGTATACTATTATCTAGATCTATTATTTTAAATTATTTTTAAAACAATTCCATGAATTGAGGAAAAACAAAAATATTCCAACTTTATGAGCGACAGTGTATGTGCAACTAGTGATTGGATGCATTCTGAGATAACAATAAAAGGTGTGGTAGGAACGGGTGCCAGTAACCGATCCCGATATAGGGACACCGAGGAAGAACATATCAATGTTTTTGGTTGATCTGAAGGGGTTGATCTCTCGATCTTCATTTTATTTTTTTCTTGAATAGTCTTTGTATGACATTTGAGTGTTTTGTTCTTATATGTTTAAGATGTTAGTATTTCATATTTAACGATCGTAAATGAAACCAAATCAAACCATATACCAATCCCATTGCCATCACCCCTGCCTCCGCGTAAAAACGGGGTAAAGCAGAACATGGATCCTTCTCTCTAGTTTGATAATGTCACAATACATATCTCAATCTGCTATTCTTGATATAAGATTGTTAACAAAGCGTGACTGTACTCACAGCTAGTCAATTGTTATTCACCATCTTAATATGTTTGTTTTGTTTGGTATGATTTCTCTCCTCTTTGTAGTTAATTGTACTGGTGACGACCCATGCATGAACGGAGGTACCTGTGAGAACAGTGCATGTACATGTGCTGCTCATTTTACTGGATCGTTGTGTGACAAAGGTATGACAATAGGGGCTGTTAGATTTGCATGTCGACAGCAACGTGTGACGTCATTTTAAGGCACTGCGCATGCTTTACGTCGTCTCAGTCGGCGATCGAGAATGCATCAACTTTGATTTTCCTAAATCTAGTACATACATAATGATATTTATATAGCGCCTTTACATGCTCAATGTACTAGTTGGTTGATCTGAAGGGGTTGATCTCTCGATCTTCATTTTATTTTTTTCTTGTATAGTCTTTGTATGACAATTTTGAGTGTTTTGTTCTCATATGTTTAAGATGTTAGTATTTCATATTTAACTATCGTAAATAAAACCAAATCAAACCATATACCAATCCCATTCCAATCACCCCTGCCTCCGCGTAAAAACGGGGTAAAAAAAAAAAAAAAAAAAAAGAGATTAAAACAATCGCCACTCTAAGATACGGGTCGGCAAACGTATTGGAAGCCACTGCAAGCTTTGCGTGATAGTATAATAACTAGACATTAAATTCGTCACAGAGACGAATTGGGTGATCTGCTTCCTTGATCGAGTCACAATACATGTAGAAACTCGGTGGGAAATTTGGCCTTTAAATACAAATCCACCCTCTACTCATATAACACACCTAGGCCTATGGTAATCAAGGATGTAGAAAGAGTAGAAATGATTTCGCTGACTGTTGTTTGGTACAACATTGTTACCATTAAATTAATGACAGAAATAGGCCCCGAAATAGGCGAACAAACAACAAAATAACGTGTCGTTAATAAAGTTTAAGTCCTATCCTATACTAAATATGTATTATATGAATAGGTCGGATCGTACAGAGCAGCAAGAAAAGCGATGTTTAAGGTCGGGAATCGTGAGGAGACAATGTGCAGATGAGTTTTTAAAAGAAAGAACATGAACCGATAAGGAATAGTAAGAACCAAGAGGCATTAATCGAATCTGACCATTAAAAACACACAGGCTAGACTGCATGTTTAGATTTACGACCCAGCCAAGTATCATGTTTTGACGGCAGTTTGGGTGGGTTGGTGAAAAGAATAATGAGTAGAATGAGTGTTAATCGGCCGACTACCTAATAACACAGAGTCAATGAGAAATCAGAACATGTATGTGTCAGTTCTGATGACAACTGGCCAATCAGTGCGCAGTCACAATGAGCCTTGCCCAAGAATTTTTGTTCTTCACAATATGACATTCACATAAGATATGGGTACCTGATTCTTACAAATTTACAATTATTTTTCCATTTCCTGGGTTTTGGTTTTGGTTTTGGTTTAGCGTTTGGTAAACTGTTTGGGCCATAGTTGAAGTAATCTGAACGACGTAATTTTGAACATTATCTGAACAAGTTTTAAGTTATTTGAGTTATCAACGATCAACATTTTTTCTTTCAACGTTCATGAAATGATCCGTCAGATCGTTTTGACGTTCACCTGACTTTTGATTCATTTTAACTTGAGAGGTTTCTGACCAATGTATTTACTATACGAAAAAGAAAACTTAAAAATTAAAAGACTAATATTTGCGAGTCTTAAATTTATCTAATTTCATGACCAACGTCAGGAACGTTTTACCGTTGTTATACTCGGGAAGTTTGACATCAGAAATCAAACGCCATTAAACGACAGTGATGCAAAATACAAGAGAGAGCAACCGGAGATATATGCCGAAATATTGAAAAGTAAAGAAGAGTAATCATGGTGATAGCAGTGTAGAATAAACCACACTTAAAAAGAGAACGTTCAATTGAAGTATCAACAATCAAAGCAAAAGTATGTGCAATTAGGGATGGGGTGCATTCTGAATGTAAAGGAGATAACAATGAAGGGTGTAATAGAAACGGGTGTAACCGATCCCGACTCATATATGGACCCCGAAGAAGAACATATCGTATGATCGGAAGTGGTTTATCTCTCGATCCTCATTTTAATTTTTGTTTTCTGGAATAGTCTTAGATGATATTTGAGTGTTTTGTTCTGATATGTTTTAAGATGTTTGTATTTCGTGTTTAATGATCGTAAATAAAACCAATTCAAACCATATACCAATCCCATTCCTATCACTTCTGCTTTCGCGTAAAAACGGGGTAAAGCAGAACATGGATACTTCTCTGTAGTTTGATAATTTCACAAAACAAATCCCAATCTGCTATTCTTGATATAAGATTGTTAACAAAGTGTGACTGTACTCACAGCTAGTCACGTGTTATTCAGCTTTTAAATATGCATGTTTTGTTTGGTATGCTTTCTCTCCTCTTTGTAGTTAACTGTACTGGTGACGACCCATGCATGAACGGAGGTACCTGTGAGAACAGGACATGTACATGTGCTCCGAAATTTACTGGACCTTTGTGTGCCGAAGGTAGGACAATATATCATTTTCACTGTCAGATCCGCCTTTTTGGGCGGCCTTAAAAGAGTTGAGGCCAGAGAGTGACGGAAGAAAAAAAAAAAGAGAACTAAATATTTTAGGCCACAGAGAAAAAAACATTAAAAGCACAGAGTGATAGAAAGAGACAAAAAAAAAATGATTAAAAAAAAGAAATCGGTACCTGGCACCGCGTTAGAAGACACTGTAAGCTATGTGTAATGTAATAATTGGGGTGGGGTGGGCCTGTCAAGAATACCCCTACATATCCTCTGAGTGTCGTAAAAGGCGACTAAAAGGGGACCATTCAGCATAAGGGGGCTGGTGGTGGTACTGGGTGGCACCAGTAGGACCAACAAAAACTTGCATCCCGTAAGACGTTGAACTGGGAAGGCGAGTTTAGGCCGCCTTTAAATAAGCCTAGCTTGCTCTGCATTGGGCAGCAGCGATGCAGTTGGAGTGTTTCAGCGGAAGATCCTTTTAGGACAACCCTCTATTCATATAACACATCTAGGCCTATGCACAAGCTCATTTGGTAATCAAGGATGTAGAAAGAGTAGAAATGATTTTGCTGACTGTTGTTTGGTAAAACATTGTTACCATTAAATTAATGACAGGTGTAAGCGAACAAACAACAAAATAACGTGTCGTTAATAAAGTTTTAGTACTGTCCTGTACTAAATATGTATTATAGGAATAGGTCGGATCGTACAGAGCAGCAAGAAAGGAAATGAACCGATTGGGAATAGTAAGAACCAAGAGGCATTCATCGAATCTGACCATTAAAAACACAAAGGCTAGACTGCATGTCTAGATTTACGACCCAGTCAAGTATCATGTTTTGACGGCAGTTTGGGTGGGTTGGTGAAAAGAATAGTGAGTAGAGTGAGTGTTAATCGGCCGACTACCTAACACAGAGTCAATGAGAAATCAGAACATGTATGTGTCAGTTCTGATGACAACTGGCCAATCAGTGCGCAGTCACAATGAGCCTTGCCCAAGAATTTTTGTTCTTCACAATATGACATTCACATAAGATATGGGTACCTGATTCTTACAAATTTACAATTATTTTTCCATTTCCTGGGTTTGGGTTTGGGTTTTGGTTTAGCGTTTGGTAAACTGTTTGGGCCATAGTTGAAGTAATCTGAACGACGTAATTTTGAACATTATCTGAACACGTTTTAAGTTATTTGAGTTTTCAACGATCAACATTTTTTCTTTCAACGTTCATGAAATGATCCATCAGATCGCTTTGACGTTCACTTAACTTTTGATTCATTTTAACTTGAGAGGTTTCTGACCAATGTATTTACGAAACAGAAAAATTAAAAATTAAAAGACTATTAAATGTTTGAGAGTCTTAATTCACCTAATTTCATGACCAACGTCAGGAACGTGTTACCATTGTTATACTCGGGAAGTTTGACATAAGAAATCAAACAACATTAAACGACAGTGATGCAAAATAAAAAAAAGAGAGCAACCGGAGGTACATTACGAAATATTGAAAAGTAAAGAAGAGTAATCATGGTGATAGCAGTGTAGAATAAACCACACTTAAAAAGAGAACGTTCAATTGAAATATCAACAATCAAAGCAAAAGTATGTGCATTTAGGGATGGGGAGCATTCTGAATGTAAAGGAGATAACAATGAAGGGTGTAATAGAAACGGGTGTAACCGATCCCGACTCATATATGGACCCCGAAGAAGAACATATCGTATGATCGGAAGTGGTTTATCTCTCGATCCTCATTTTAATTTTTGTTTTCTGGAATAGTCTTAGATGATATTTGAGTGTTTTGTTCTGATATGCTTTAAGATGTTTGTATTTCGTATTCAATGATCATAAATAAACCTAAATCAAACCATATACCAATCCCATTCCCATCACCCCTGTCTCCGCGTAAAAACGGGGGAAAGCAGAGCATGGATCCTTCTCTGTAGTTTGATAATGTCACAAAACAAATCCCAATCTGCTTTTCTTGATATAAGATTGTTAACAAAGCGTGACTGTACTCACAGCTAGTCACGTGTTATTAACCTTCTTAATATATTTGTTTTGTTTGGTATGCTTTCTCTCCTCTTTGTAGTTAACTGTACTGGTGACGACCCATGCATGAACGGAGGTACCTGCGAGAACAGGACATGTATATGTGCTACGGGATTTACTGGACCTTTGTGTGCCGAAGGTATGAAATATATCATCACTGTCAGATCCGCCTTGGGGGGGGGGGGGGGGCGGGTTTAAAAGGGGATTGAGGCCAGAGAGTGACGGAAGAAAAGAAGAAAAAAAAAGAACAAAATATTTGAGGCCACAGAGAAGAAAACAGGAAAAGCACAGAGTGATAGAAAGAGACAAAAAAAAATGATAAAAAAAAGAAATCGGTACCTGGCACCGCGTTAGAAGACACTGTAAGCTATGTGTAATGTAATAATTGGGGTGGGGTGGGCCTGTCAAGAATACCCCTACTTATCCTCTGCGTGTCGTAAAAGGCGACTAAAAGGGGACCATTCAGCATCAGGGGGCTGGTGGTGGTACTGGGTGGCACCAGTAGGACCAATAAAAACTTGCATCCCCTAAGACGTTGAATTGGGAAGGCGAGTTTAGGCCGCCTTTAAATAATGCTCTCCGATCGGGGTTAATTACAAGGAATTAGATCTTCGCCTTTTAATGAATTTGAGAAAATTAAGGACGGGTTCATGACTATTTATAGCAAGACTGTTTGAATATTTTTAAAGGCACTCATGGTTTGTCTGATTCTTTTCATTATTAACTCAGTAATAACGTGCACCGTACCTGAATTTGACGAATTGGTATCTTCTCGGACGTGTTCAACCGATGAATATGTGATCTACAATCAACAATGCAGCTTCTCTTGTCCGACTGGTTATAGCCGAGCGGGTCCGTCGTTTGTTATCTGCACGGGCTCAGGAAGTTTCTCGCAAATGTTTCCTCGTTGTGTGAGTAAGTGTAATTTCGGAGCACTGTGGTATATTCCTAAAAGTTCGATCCTTGCTCGGTGCTTACATCCTTGGACAAGCTGTTTAGCCTCCATTTCGACCTCACTGCTCAGGTGAAAATGAATACCTGTCATTGTTGGGTAATTAAAAATTAATACTGATATGGCTACCCTTAGTAATTAAGAAACAATCAATATTTCTTTCCTTATTATTTTCGAAAAACAGTCAGGATGACAAATATGGTCCGACCATGCAATGCGGTGTGTGTATTGGGATTTTACAGACGTGTATCAATTAGATATGATTATGTAAGTCTGGGGGACCGACCTTTTAAACGACACCATCCGAAAGACGTGACTTAGTTTCGAACCTGCGTCCTCGGCTGAATCAGTTTGTAACTTCCATTGTTAGCTGGATTACATTTTAAAGTGAAATTACTGACCAGTGTATTTACAATACGAAACAGAAATCTTAATAAGAGTCATGTTCGCGAGTTCTCAAATTTTCTATCACCTCATTTCATCTTTTCATGACCATCGTCAGTAACTGAAGTATATAAATAAACGTAATAATTTGTATAATATGAAGGTTAGACATATATACGAACTCAAACAACGTAAGGATATTAATGCATACTACAAAAGAGAGCCAAGATATTGAAAAGTAAAGAAGGATAGTGATGATGATACGAGTGTAGAATAAACCACAATAAAACATGGACACTGACCAGTGTATAACATATTTTATATATTATTTTGCAGAGTGTGATCCCAACGGCAGCGTTTGTCCAAAAACAGGTATGTTCCTCTCTAACATAAGTTAAACCGCGGATAGTCATTGTCCGACATGTTCATGTTCGCGATTTACCCATGATTTAACTTTTAATATGGCCCATAAATAATCTCTCTGTGTCTCTTAAAGGTATTATGTCCCATTTGCAGGCCAAAAAATGAAAAAGCTAAATTCCAACTGCATTTGAAAGATAATACTAATTTAGAACTTTAGAATATTTGTCATGGGATATTTATACTTCAGGCTTCAATTTTATTTAGCCGTTGACCTAGAAAACTATGATATATATATATATCTATCTGTCCATATGTCCCATAGCTTGAGTTTAAGCTGTTGGGGCGACAATGAAATTAAATGGACCTTGAGAGACAATGTTCTCTTTAACTTTCTTTCTTCAGCCGCTCTTGATAGCTGCTCAAATGACATTCCCGGCCTGTCCATAAAGGTGTTTAAAAAAGTAGAACGGAGCTAACCAAAGATTGTTAATTCCGCAAAGCCATTGTGTTGCATAAAGCGATCCCTCCGTCAGTTGGTACATAGACTTGTACCGGTTTGCACGTAATGGCGAACGAGCGATCGTGGCGATAAGCGCTGATGACAAATACCAGACTCGAGTGGGTTCGCCTTGCACGCTAAGGGACGGCTTTTTTCGGTATATTTTATAGTTATTATTTCTGCACAGGTTTGGGAGTCAGGTGGGAAGGAGAGAACCCTATAACTTTTTCTTTTTTTCTCTCTGTTTATTCTGAAAAAAATCCACTTTAACCGTTTATCGGTAGGCTTATAATATAACATTGTGTGGTTGTACGAAACTTGCTCCTGCGACAATTAACATAATTCGTTTGAGGTCCTTCTTTGCTTTAATTTTGTACACGTGTTCTCGATTAAATTAATTTATAATCTTTATATCTTTGTATACTCGAATATATATATTTTTTCTTTCGTGGGCGTCTTTCGCTGGTCATTGACAGAAATATGTTGACTTTATAAAGTTGTTTTTGGTAGTATCCTCCAGACCTCTACTGTTATTCATTTTCGAATTATTTACTTAATCCATAGCTCAGGGCATGAATATGAAATCATGCTCTCCGATCGGGGTTTATTACAAGGAATGAGGTCTTCGCCTTTCAATGAATTTGAGAAATTTAAGGTCGGGTTTATGAATATTAGTAGCAAGACTGTTTGAATATTTCGAAAGGCACTCATGGTTTGTCTGATTCTTTTCATTATTAACACAGTAATAACGTGCACCGTACCTATATTTGACGAATTGGTATCTTCTCCGACGTGTTCAACCGATGAATATGTGATCTACAATCAACAATGCAACTTCTCTTGTCCGACTGGTTATAGCCTAGACGGTCCGTCATCTGTTAACTGCACGGCCTCAGGAAGTTTCTCGCAAATGTTTCCTCGTTGTGTGGGTAAGTGTAATATGGGAGCACTGTGGAATATTCATGAAAGTTCTTGATTCTCCTATGAAAGGTTCTGGGTTCGATCTGTAATCGGCGCTTACATCCTTGGACAAGCCGTTTGGCCTCCATACCTCTTTGCTCAGGTGTACCTGTCATTGATGGGTAACAAACACTTTCAGGGTCCACAGGAAGAGTACTATTACGACTGATATGGCTACCTTGGGTGAATAAGACACAATGAATATATTTTTCTTATAATTGTCGAAAAATGTCAGGGTCATTAAATTGGGCCGATCAAGCAATGACAAATATATCCAACTATTAAAGGCTTAATTTCCGTAAAATAAAATGCTGTTTTTGTTCTTAAAGATACACTTGAGTACTGGTAAAAAAAAGAAAATGAATTCTCACAGAATCAAACGGAACTTACACTAAATGTTGAAGATTACAAATAAATGTCATTTGCCAAACAATTTTGGTAGAAAATGTATACTGGCTGAGTAATGAGCATAGAAAGATAAAGAAATCAAAATGAGTAACCCCGACACGATTTGTGTATTCCCGCATACATCTTCCTGTATGCAGTGCTTGTTACTTTACCAAGACTGGGCCAAATTTATTATGATTTTGATGGCTCCAGCACCTTGCAGAACTCACCTTTATCTTTAAATTCAGTTCGGGGGAGAACGATGGTACGTGCATCCTCTAAAATGTTAAATGCGTTTTGCAGGATTTTTTCTTGTGTAGCCTGATTTTTTTTCTCGATAATATTAAATATTCTTATCTGATGGTGACATCTTGGAAATTCCATAATCTATAATAAACTGTTCATTCAGGATCGAGCTTCCTAGCCCCACCCCCTCCCTAAGAATTTTAGATAACACAGAGGTTTGCAATGAATCGCTAATGGCATAATCATTATTGCATGCACATATTGTTAAAAACAGTCGACAACTTACCAATCAAAAACCTTGTTTCAAATTTGAATTGACCTGAAATATTTTTGTTACGGGGTCCTGTTGTGTTTCTTTGTTTTGAAAAATCCAGTATCGATTGAATTTATCGTGAGCAAACCAATTGAGAATGACAATCGAAGAAAACGTGCAGATGTTCCCATCGGGTCAACAGTGGTACAGAACCTGCTGGATTCAGTAAGTGTTACATTGGTCATTTCTCAAAATAAAACCTTGAGTTTGGGAAACTCTCTATTTTGTTCATAAATAGATTAGTGAAACGATATACCGTCTTAGCAGCAGTGAACCAATTTGATTTGCACTGCTGGTGTGACCAACTGTCAACAGCTATATGTTGATGATACCTAAATTTGTTACGTTTTGCAAGCGCGCAAAAAATGCTTTGAAACTATTTCTTTTTAATATGTCAAGTGTTGTTATGTTTGTATAATTTTTAAAAAATTGAATAACTGCATCATGAAATGTATAATTAATTTATCTTTCTAGATCTTGATTGCTGTTAACAGCCTTCCAGAAGTAAATAGCGTAAATGGAAGAGCCATTTCAGCGGATGATGACGTCATTGACCTAATCACAGCAAGGGTCAGACTGAACGTGACCTTTAGGACTGACATCACGATTCAACAGTTGACATCACTCGTGATAGCCTCTATCAACAACATCCATGGAGTCGACGTTCAAAGTGAGTCACTACATTCGCCACTCTCCACCCAGGTGTTAATGGGTCTGGTAGGAAGCGTGGTGGATATGTGCGCTATAACAAATACCCATTTTTTTTTCTTCTTCATCTTATTTTTCTTCTCCCCCTTTTCTTCATTTTTTCTTCTCTTTCTTCATTTCTTCATGGCTCAAGTAAAGCCTCGGTTATAAATGCCATTACGAACTGCTACCGAACGCCGTACGAACGATTTTCAGACAATGGAAATTCAGAAAGACAATGGAAAAACAGGGAGATTCGTACGAACCTTTGTGACCGTAGCATAAGTTATTACGATCGCTCTTTGTCCGACGTCCATTGTCGGTAAACCTTTTCATATTTTCAACTTTCAAATTTTCGGATTTTAACCAGACTTGGAAGGAATCTTCCTCAGACGATTGTGATCAACATCTGTTCAAATGGCGTACGTATCCCACAGGGAGGCCTGGAGCAGCGCCCCCAAAGTTCATCAGTGACATTAATTGCACATTTTCTTCTTAAAAACACATGGCTGGATTCTAATCAACTTGTAAAGGATTCATCTGCAGGAAAGGGAATTCCAACGTTGTTCAAATGAGTTCTTGAGCCCAGCGCGATGTAACAGACCCATCGCCATATTATAAGTAATAAGTATCAGTTCTTCTGCACTGCGCCTAAATTGATAAAATAATTCACAGAAATGTTTCATTTTATGTTCGTATTCCCACATACCCGTTATTGTTCCTATCCATTTGAGGTTTTTTAATTTTGTTATTTGACTGCTAAGAAATCATCATGTGTATGCTTGTAAGTAAGCAACCAATTGAACGACGAACGCATCGACTTGGTTTCTAACCCTGGACATCCCGGTTACGAGACCACTGCTCTACCACTCAGCCACCGCGCCTCCTAGTGCTCTAACACGTTTAGCATATACAATTGTTAACATTTCATGAAGCAAGGCAAACGTTCCGAATCATTTTTATCCGCAGGTTTTGAGTTGCTGCCTGACCCATGTTCATTGGACAATCCTTGTGGTAATGAAGATACATGTGAAAGGGTCGATCCCTACTCTGCGAATGTCACCTGCATGTGAGTTTCTTCTGTTTTTATATTCTTTAAATAAGCCTACATTTTCTATACATCAGCAGGACAGGGGCGTTACGTGAGTCTATCCATTTAGGGTGCCTGTGACAGGGGAGGGGTGTGGGGACACGGTCATACATGTACTTATTAGATGTAAATTAGATGTGAATTAACAAGGCTATTTGATGGGGAAAGGGTGTGGGATATGGTACAGGCGCGTTCTTTGCCCGTCATTTTCTCTTATTCCTTTTCCTTTCTCTATTTTGTTTTGTTTCTTCTTTCGTTTTAATGTTTTGAACCCCTCCTCCCACCACGTGCCCCCTTCCCCCATAGCTACGTCACTACAACGGGCAAGTATCTGTAAAAGACGACCCACATGCTTTGGTAGTATAGTTTTTCCCTGAGTCCCTTAATTCATGTATGTATCACTTTCTAGTTTTCTCTATATTTTGTATACATCATTTCACGTTTCAACGGTTTCGAAGAAATTATAGTTCTTTCGATGGAGTCTAATCTAAGTAATTAAACATCGTGTTTTTCATTTAATTTCTCTTATGTTTCGATAGCTGGAAACTTTATTCCTGAACAAAAGTAACTCGATGTTTTGTGAACATTGATTATTCCAAAAGCTCACAATATACACCACTTCCTATGTGCTACATAATCAGCCTTTTCAAATGCTTTCAGATAGTTTCATTTATATTCGATCACGTGACCTTTACTCAACTTTGTCTTAAACCTTAGTCCTGACGATGACGATGACGATGACGATGACGATGACGATGACATAACAACCACTCTCGCCATCGCCCTGCCCATTGCCTTTCTACTTCTTGTTGCCATTGGTTTTCTTGCATTCGTCTACCACCGCTATGGAGTGATCCGCGGTCGGAAAGGACGTGTTATTACGCCCGAGCCCTTGGTGCAGGTTAGTCCTCAGGAGCGCTTTCACGATTTACACAAGCAGGGGAAAAAAAAGGATTACACCCTTACAAAAAAGTACCATGGTTACTATGGCTTTTTTGTCCAAATTACCATCCACCATGGAAACCATGGTAATCATGATACCAAACAATGAAATACACTGTTTGATGACCCTATGCTTATCATTGTTTGACAAAAAACCATGGTTATTATGGTACTTTTTTTATAAGAGTAATACGGGAGCGTGTGGGGCACGATTTATCGTTATAGTGAGCGTTTTCGTAATGGATGAAACCTGACCAGACCTTGAAAGTAAAATTGCTTAATCAAATTGATATCTTTTCTAGTTTCTGGGCATGCTACCTAAATTCCTAAAACCATTGCTATATGAACAACATGCATTTGATAATGTGGGATTAATATTTTTGTTAAAGTGCATAAAAGACCGACTCGTCTGTTTGGAGCCAGAAGGGCCTTATTAAACCCATATACTTTAACACAGAAATAACGCCATTCTGGCTCTAAACAGACGAACTCAAACTCGTTCATAACTCACAAGTATTCAAAGCTGGTGATATTTTGATTAGAAAGTAGAAGAACCTGATGATGATTTCCAAAGGGGCGCATGTTGTACAACCCACTGCATCAACTAATGTACGCGAACATTACAATGATGTATTACAATATCCGAACGTCGTTTCCAAGGGATATACAAAAGGGTATTGAAATTGCCTTTAAGGTGATTCCTTGACAAACATTGTATATAGTTTTTGGGACCAACACCCTTGTTTTATACCATGCATTCGACATTCACAGTGTGATTAGTTGATATGCTTCTGAAGGCTCGTTCTAATTTGACGTATAACCACCTGAAAAAACAAACGTCCGTTCTTTATTCATTTTTTTTTTTCTTCAAACGTGTAAATGAAGGCAAATGCACACAAGCTAGGAAGTACGTGTATTCACTGTGCTACGTCTTATAAGATACAGATATGTAAAGCTTATATGTACTTTATGTCATGATATTATAAAACCACCATTCTTTATCCATCTGACTTATCAGGAAGGCACTTCGGGAGCAGGACTACAGCAGAGCAGCAGTGTCGGCCAACTGCCTTCAGGAGACATCAACCCTCCATTGGCGCACGAGTTCAACGATGGGCTAGAGATGGACTCTAGATTGAATAGTGATGAGGTGGATCGCCATGATGCCGAAGTCAAGGGCCTGCCCTATCGGCAGACAGTAGATGAACATCGAGCATCCAGTGGTAACCGGGCAAAAGAGTCCGACTTAAATGAGGTCCCCCAAAAGGAATTGCGAGTATAAAGTCTCCCATGGATCTCTTGACACCTACTTCTAAACGATTCTGTAAACCAGACATGGAGATTCTGCCGTTTTTATATTTGGGGTGGAGTGTGGAAGTGACCTTTAAATGCATGCAGTAGCTTATCCAGGGTAGAATTGGGCTAGCAGAGCCCCCCTCCTAAGCTGTTTAGGTTCTTTGACACACAAAGAAATACTTCTTCTTGCCGTCAGGCCTATGTCTTTCTCATGCTGGGTTTCCATTCCCTTTCGCCTGTCCCTCTGGTGGGGATGCCCCCACCATTGCTGGATACGCCAATGTGCTTATCTATTCTTATGCTGTCACCTAGCTCTTTTGCTATGGTTTCTTTTATGTCTTTCATCGACTACTGTTCACGGTATAAATATAAGCTTTATAATCAACCTTGCTACCATTTGTATGTTGAACTACACAAGATGATAGCCGGGATTACGCCCGTGGTTCGATTTGTTACATCACTGGATGCAGCTGATTCGAGATTATTTTCACAATGAATTAACTTACGATAACATGATATCAAGAATTTTGTGTACACAGTATTGTAAGAAAAAGCCTTAACCTTAATGTTACTAAAAGTGCCGGCTTCTACTTTCTATTCTTACATTATTCATAGCTTATATTTCTGGATGTTTTGTTAGAATATACGTTTACACGTTGCATACATTTTATTTTAGAGTCAGGGTAATCTATTGACAGTACTTCAGATTTACGGATATATATTATATAGTATGGATGAGTGTGTTTGAATATATGTATTTTTGTTTTGTTTGTTATAGTATGTTTTTATTGTATTTTTTATTTAATTGTATGTTAATGGGCCCCATTTACAAGCTTTGCTTCTCAGGGGTCCGTACCAGTACCAGTGTGATTGTTAATTGTTTTTAATGATTGGCTGAATAAATTGAAGTGAATTTTACAATGAATTTTACCAAAACAAATTATCATATATTCTTGTTAATTCGGATGAATAAAATAATTTAATTGAATTGAATCTATTGCTCACTATGTCCCGACGTGTCGACAGCCGTGTCCCATAATGCATCACCAACTGCAGAAAACGTGCATGATGATGCGTGGGTACAGGAACCAGAACTCGTTCCATGTACGCAATTGAAAATATATTACAGCAGTGGTAGCAGTGTCAGTCAATCATCCTGCCTTTGAAAAGGGATTTTTTTTGTGTGTGTGTTTTTTTTTTGGTGGTGGTCTTTCTACTGTCTCAAATTTAATGGAGGCATATCTTAGCTAAACTTGACATTTACTTTAGGACCGCTACCATGAAATCCCACATGTCGCATATAACCCGCTCGACTTCACTTCTGGAAGCTTGTGAACATTACAATGACGTATTGCGTAATTTGGAAAAAAATTAACGTGTACATAGGCAATACTACATGGTGTATTGAAAACGCTCTTAAACTGATTTATTGAAATAATGTTAGCAGTTAGGGTATTCGTTATTATTATTGTTGTTGTTATTATTATAATTATTTCAAATATCAATATTATCATCATCAAAATCAATGTTATCATCGTATATTGTTTATTCAGTACTATTTTAATATTCTATTCATATTAAGGTGTGATTGTTATAAATGGGGCGTATACTTCGTTTTTGTATTAAAATGAAATGAAAAAGATTCTAGTAATATTATTTTCATCATTTCACTCAGTCATGAACGTAAACGATAGATTATTAAGAAATAATACTCGGTCATGATACAACATTGTATCCTACGCTACCAATAGCAAAAATTATTAAAATCAAATGTGGTATTCTCATAAGTTAAGCCGAGACTAAGTCCAGACTAAACAAGAATTTTAGTTCACACTTCTATGGAATGCTAGGTGTCATCTTCCTCCTTCAATATTCATGACAAAGATAATCTACCAAAGACTTTTTGGAAATTCAGTTCATACTTATATTATCTTTTTCTTCCCATTTCATTGCAAAATTAATTTTTTGGAGACTTTTCATTGAAGGATTAAAATAATCTGTACAGGATAAATGAGTTGACAACAGGCACTCCATAAAAGTGTGGACTAACTTAGTGCGCGCTAACTTAGTACGCGCTACCAGAATACCACCCATCCCTGTGCCTCACTTTTCGAAATGTGCAAACATTACAATAACGTGCACTGCCTTATATATTGGGTCTTTATATATTTACATAGAGCTGAAATAAACATAACTGTGTCTAGTCATACTGTTGTCCAAATGAAGTCAACATGTGGAGAATTACGTCTTTCAAAATTGAAAACGACATTCATTTTCATTGCCTTTTGTGGGCAGTGAATTTCGGAGTAGGTTACCTGTTAATGTCAGATTGCCAAGGTCTAGAAATAGGTTTTGGGAGTTCATTTACATTTGTTGATCAAATCATGAATGAAACTCTTTGTAAATAGTGTGTATATATACAAGAATTATATTTCATTTTTATAAGGTTGTATATTGTTAGACATTGTTAAGTATTTTTTAAAGCCCCACTGCACTTTTTATAGCTACTGCGCCCTCTATATAGCAATTAATTCCTAATCGGTGACCATTGGTCCCCAATGATCCCCTTTTCCTTATGTTACTTGAGAGCTGATTTGATGATAACCACCTGTCAGTGACCATGCAGGGAGGTCTAATCTCTCCTGGCCAAACTAGTGCAGTGGGGCCTAAAAGTATCGATTGTAATAGTAATTTCATTTTTTTGTTTTGTTTTGTTTTCTGAAATTCACTTGTAACAAAATACTTTGTGTAGCTGTAAGGGCCCTAGTGGTTAGGCTTGACTAGCACAACCATGTGCTTTAATCTGGCCCCTTTTACCCCCAAAATGGTTTCTCTTCGTGTGTATGTAAATATCATTGTATAACATGTTGAGCTCAAATTGCTGAATTGTTGTTGGTAATTAAATCAAACCAAACAAAAATATAGCCATCATGTCAGAAAGAAAACATTGCTTTTGAATGCATTATGATTTTAGTCTATAATATAATTGATAATTACATTCAGAATGTAACGGAATGTAATTAATGCAGTCATGATTACCATGTAATCGTATAATTACGTTCATCACGTGGTCATGATTACCATGTTACATGTGATTATGATTATCATGTGATCTTAAAATCATGATAATCTTGTAATTGCGTAATCATGATGACATGTGGTCGTGTAATCATAATCATGTGATCATATCATGTACATTTATATAGCGTGGCCGCGACACAAAATACCCTACTATGCCAATACAGAGTATACTTTTACTACCGGCTGTAGCACAGTCGCCATGATAAGGCGGTAAAACAGTTTATGATTTTTTTTCCCCCTATCTGGTACCCATTAGCTTCACCTGAATGGAGAGTGGGAAATGTAACTCGATGTCTTGTCAAAGTACATTAGTACCGCGGTGGGATTGGAACCGCGAATCACGTAATCTTGTTTACATGATCATCCTGTGATCGGGTAATCATGATGATTCATAGTTATAATTATCGTCGATATTATCATTTGATCGCTGATAATAGTTAATACAATGATTTGGCTACACTTAAAACAATGTGCTTAAAACTCCGGTCGGTTTCTTGAAAAGTTATACGGAATACACAAAGAGACAAGGATATTCCTACCGTGGACACCACTAATGTACAATGAGTGATATTTAAATATAAGACTTAAGCATGAAGTGTGAAAATAAAGGTATGACATCCACCGAGTGACATTATTATGGCTCGTTAGTATTAGGCGACACACGCCACCTCTCGACCGGTTTCTGGCTGCTTTCTGTTTTATGTAAGCCCCCATTGACAGCGAACTGCATCAGTGTTTTACAAAATACAATTATACACAGAGCTTCCATATTGCAAAGCTATTCACGTACTTAGGCAAGGAAAACCCGATGTCGGATATTCATGCAGAGGAAAAGAGATGTAGTAACTAAATCCCTTTTCTTCTGCATGTATTGTTAATATTACAAACTGTTTGTAATATTTACAATACAAAACTTAATTTAAAAAAAGTTATACGATCATTATGCGGAACCCCTGATATGAATTCAGTGTAATGTTAGATGATAATGATGATGATTACGACAATGATGGTGATGGTGATATTGATGATGATGACGATGATGATGGTGACGATGACATTATTAAATTTGACAATGAGAACACTGATGCTGCAAACTCAGCAACATTGCCTACATTCTTCCTAGAGTTTCGAAGCACTTCTAAAAATCTACCTGATATGAATAAAACGGGAAGCGAAGGTTTTTATATTCATAAATATATGGGCACCAATCTTGCCATTCAGGGATGGGACGGCGATGATGATGATGATGATGGTGATGGTGGTGGAGGTAGGTGTATTGATGCTAACGGTGGGGTTGTTGATGATGATGATGATGATGGTGGTGATGGAGTTGGGTGTATTGATGATAACGGTGGGGTTGTTGATGATGATGATGATGGTGGTGGTGGTGGAGTTGGGTATATTGATGATAACGGTGGGGTTGTTGATGATGATGATGGTGATGGTGGTGATGGAGTTGGGTGTATTGATGATAACGGTGGGGTTGTTGATGATGATGATGGTGATGGTGGTGGTGGAGGTGGGTATATTGATGATAACGGTGGGGTTGTTGATGATGATGATGGTGATGGTGGTGATGGAGTTGGGTGTATTGATGATAACGGTGGGGTTGTTGATGATGATGATGATGGTGGTGGTGGTGGAGTTGGGTATATTGATGATAACGGTGGGGTTGTTGATGATGATGATGGTGATGGTGGTGATGGAGTTGGGTATATTGATGATAACGGTGGGGTTGTTGATGATGATGATGGTGATGGTGGTGGTGGAGTTGGGTGTATTGATGATAACGGTGGGGTTGTTGATGATGATGATGGTGATGGTGGTGATTGAGTTGGGTGTATTGATGATAACGGTGGGGTTGTTGATGATGATGATGGTGATGGTGGTGATTGAGTTGGGTGTATTGATGATAACGGTGGGGTTGTTGATGATGATGATGGTGATGGTGGTGATGGAGTTGGGTGTATTGATGATAACGGTGGGGTTGTTGATGATGATGATGATGATGGTGGTGATGGAGTTGGGTGTATTGATGATAACGGTGGGGTTGTTGATGATGATGATGGTGATGGTGGTGATGGAGTTGGGTGTATTGATGATAACGGTGGGGTTGTTGATGATGATGATGGTGATGGTGGTGATGGAGTTGGGTGTATTGATGATAACGGTGGGGTTGTTGATGATGATGATGGTGATGGTGGTGATGGAGTTGAGTGTATTGATGATAACGGTGGGGTTGTTGATGATGATGATGGTGATGGTGGTGATGGAGTTGGGTGTATTGATGATAACGGTGGGGTTGTTGATGATGATGATGGTGATGGTGGTGATGGAGTTGGGTGTATTGATGATAACGGTGGGGTTGTTGATGATGATGATGGTGATGGTGGTGATGGAGTTGGGTGTATTGATGATAACGGTGGGGTTGTTGATGATGATGATGGTGATGGTGGTGATGGTGGTGGTGGAGGTGGGTGTATTGATGCTAACGGTGGGGTTGTTGATGATGATGATGGTGATGGTGGTGATGGAGTTGGGTGTATTGATGATAACGGTGGGGTTGTTGATGATGATGATGGTGATGGTGGTGATGGTGGTGGTGGAGGTGGGTGTATTGATGCTAACGGTGGGGTTGTTGATGATGATGATGGTGATGGTGGTGATGGAGTTGGGTGTATTGATGATAACGGTGGGGTTGTTGATGATGATGATGCTGATGATGGTGATGGTGGTGGTGGAGGTGGGTGTATTGATGCTAACGGTGGGGTTGTTGATGATGATGATGGTGATGGTGGTGATGGAGTTGGGTGTATTGATGATAACGGTGGGGTTGTTGATGATGATGATGGTGATGGTGGTGATTGAGTTGGGTGTATTGATGATAACGGTGGGGTTGTTGATGATGATGATGGTGATGGTGGTGATTGAGTTGGGTGTATTGATGATAACGGTGGGGTTGTTGATGATGATGATGATGATGGTGGTGATGGAGTTGGGTGTATTGATGATAACGGTGGGGTTGTTGATGATGATGATGGTGATGGTGGTGATGGAGTTGGGTGTATTGATGATAACGGTGGGGTTGTTGATGATGATGATGGTGATGGTGGTGATTGAGTTGGGTGTATTGATGATAACGGTGGGGTTGTTGATGATGATGATGGTGATGGTGGTGATTGAGTTGGGTGTATTGATGATAACGGTGGGGTTGTTGATGATGATGATGATGATGGTGGTGATGGAGTTGGGTGTATTGATGATAACGGTGGGGTTGTTGATGATGATGATGGTGATGGTGGTGATGGAGTTGGGTGTATTGATGATAACGGTGGGGTTGTTGATGATGATGATGGTGATGGTGGTGATGGAGTTGGGTATATTGATGATAACGGTGGGGTTGTTGTTGATGATGATGATGGTGAATATGAAGTTGACGATGAGGGCACCCTTTCTATGTTATTCGATAAAACCGGAAAAAATTATTCCTCAAAATCTCAGTAACCGGACCATAAACAATTATTGAAAGGATTGCAGATTTTTCGTTTACAACTTTAGATTGCTTTGAAAAAAATTGTGAAGGAAAGTTCTTCACCACAGTACATTAGCGGCTAACTGAGCTTCAAAGCAGATAATTGAAATGGCGACCAGCAAGGGCCTTGCGCAAGGTTCACACGCTATAGCACCGTCAGATCGGGCATACCGGAACAACACCGTGACGCTAATGAACATTCCTGACCCGGAGACAAGCCTGTCATGATAACAAAATCGAGAAGTACCTCTTTCGAAAAAAAAACATTGTAACGAGACCAGAAATGTATCAGGTTGTAGTAAATTCAATCTCTACTACGAAAGTTCGAGGTATTCAGAAAATGTCGTCGCCAATTTCGACGTGAATAATTCGCTATTTCGTCTATTCGCGATGTCCCTTCAGGGCTACCATATGTACGTGGCCTTTTAACTGTGTTTTGTATAGTGTATCTTTCATCGCGTCTCAAATTGCTCCTATTTCTATTATCCATCGGTCTAAGGAGATGTTTTTTTTATTCCCCAAAAAGCTTCCGGATTTCTTCTTAAATTTAAGCATGATGGATTGTGAAAGACCCCTCCCGCCGGTAGCCATTAAATACGAAATGTGAACATACCAGTGTCAGTGTCACTTATTAAAGTAAACAACTGGGAAAATATATTAAACATTTTTACAAACTTGAATCATTATAATGAAGGAGATAATTAGTATTGCTCTCTCGTATTATAAAGCAACCTATATAGGCCTAAACATAAATTTCGGAATGGTTTAATAATATATGGTTACTAATTGAAAAAATGCATTAAATGCTCTACATTGTTGTCCAAAATGCTTTTTTTTTACAGTACTAAATTTGTTATCGCTATGGATGGAGGATTCGATCTAGTTCATGTTAAAGTTCTGTTTGAAAACAAATTTGTAAAGATGATATTAAGTGTACATAAATAATTTATATGAATAAAAACGTAAATCTATTTAATAGATTTTGTTTTAAATTAGATAAAATGCACGGAAATCTAAAATCTTTCTTCAGTACAGACCGAAATGGGAGAGGTCTTTGAGGTCATCTTACTACTTCCTGCTCTGATGTATCCCAATTGTATAACTTTTTTCCCTCTGTTTTGTTCTATAAGCAAATATATTAGTTGCTACTTGCCATTAATATTCTTGAATTTTGGTTCAGTTCCTAATTATTAGGTGGTGTTTTTTTTACTTTCATGCTCGCGTCCTGTTTCGAAATTCATCAGTATGCTCTTCTTTTTCTATACAATATTCGTTTAAATGTTAGTTGAACAGTCTGCCGTAAACGTCATCCTTTTTTCGTGCTATAACTTTCAATACCCAAGATATTATCTTTCAAGCGAGAATTCTTGAAATATGAAACTCCCGGATGTCGAGACAGATGTTTGACGTGATTTGAAATGAGGATATGAACCTCTGGGTCAGACTGTCGTCAATCATGCGACCTCACCGTTCATCATTTATAAGAAACGTTCATCTCAAGAGAAATGTGTCCGAATTCTATCAAGTCAAACGGCTGGAACTCGTCTGGTTAGGGTTGTGGTAGGGGTGGTAACGACCGATTAAACAGAGAAGATCTCCCAAGTAAAGAGAAAAAGAACGTTGTTTTTAAATAAGTGCGGAAAATATAATAGATGAGATGTTCCCCGAAAAGAGGAACTCTTAAAACTGCCCTCACATTAAAAATGTAATGGGAAATAGCTGAAGAATGGTCGGGGCACTTACTCCCCCTCTCTTTCATCATTTATGTTGCCATTCAATGAATGCTGGGTGGGAGGGGACTTGCCCCTTGTGCCCTCTCCGTAGTAAGCTACCCCTAACCCTCACCTGTTTATGAGGTAATTTATGATAGACTACCTCGAAGTAACAAGGCTTTAATGTTTAATACAACATCAATAGGGTCATATCCGCCCCTATCTGTTACATCGCCGAGATAATTCATGGTATCAGGGGACTTCCCCGTCTAGTGCTCCAAAGATATCCACACACTCGTGCCGTTCATAGCTGGTTGAGAGAGATAGTTATGCGAGTGGAAGTTGCTCGTGGTTGGACAGTCGTTTCATGGGAGCTCGAAGATTAAAGGTACTATGTCCTATTTGCAGACCAAAACAAAAATTAAAGTTTAAATTCCAACCGCATTTGAAAGATAATACTAATCAAGAACTTCCCTCAAAACGAAAGGCCTTGAAAATGTCTTTCAAGGGAAAATAACGACCATTAGATGTTGAATCAACTTAAGTAATTGTGATCCATTTAGTAATAGTCTGATTTTCAGAACATTGTACAGAATGGTCGTATGCTTTGTGCTGCGCAAAGATTTAATCAGTATTAATTTTGGCCATTACAGAAGTGGGTTATTGATGTAGAAAAATGCTCATGAATCCATTTCAGCTCATTTTCTGTATGTTATTACCAAATATAAAAAAAGAAGTCAGTCAGTCACTCAATAGTATCTGACAGTGAAGCTTAGAGAGTAAACGGGTTCCCTTGCATGATTGGAATATTAGGACACTGCTAACGTTTAAATTTCACAGAGAGGACATACGTGACATATTCATAATTCCTGCAAAGTTCTACAGAATTTAATGTTGGCTGCAAATGGGACTTTAAACCTATAACAGCGCTCGTGTATCTCTTTTTATAAGTATCTTACTCAATGCGCTATGATCCTAGTCCGCAATCACATGCTCTAATTTAACAACATACCACAATTCCTAACGCCTTGAGCAGCGCCTAACTCTGTTAGTTTCTGGAAATGCAGAATCAGAAATGCATATTCTCATAGTACAGACTTAACACAACGACTTAAGGGTTGCTCCTGCAAAATATAATGATTCCTTTAAAGGATCATAACTCAATCAGCCCAGGGAGAAATCGCTTTCGAGAGAAATATCAACAACCATCAGATGTTACCGGGAGATAAGGACCTCCCGGGTCTTCCAAGAAACTGACATGCCCAAGAATTCTGCCATTTATCAGTTCCCCTTTCCGTTCAAGTTCACACAGGGTCACATTAAAGATAAACTTTAGTACTGGTAATGCGATTGCATTGTGAAAGAAAAGGTGTGGAATGGATCAGAAAAGTTGATCATATAGCATGTAAGTAATGGTGTGCACTGCAAGGTTCTGGAGTCATCAAAATCATTATAAATTTGACCGAGTCTTGGTAAAGTAACAAGCACTCACATAGAAAGCTATATATGGGACAACACACATGGTGTCGGGGCTAGTACTACCTTGATTTCCTTGTCTTTCTATGCTCATTACTCAGCCAGTATATATTTTCTTCCAAAATTGTTTGGCACATGTCATTTATTTGTAATCTTGAACATTCAGTGTAAGTTTCGTTTGATTCTGTGAGAATTTTTTTTTTTTTACCAGTACTGGAGTTTATCTTTAAGGACCGAGGGGCTATTCCAGAAATACCCCTTTTGGATCTCGTCAAACAACTAGTCATATCTATCAGCTTTCTGGTAGAAGATTAAAGTTGTGAAATACTGCTTATAAGATTATATTTCTTTAGTAGGTGATACGAACGTAGTTATGTATTACCTATTGATTTCGTCAAGATTTTTCTATTTTCATTATTTATTATTCTGCCATATTTTGTTCGCAGGATATCTCAAGAATGAATAAAGCCATCATCATGAAACTTACCATGATGATAGATATGAGTGTACGTCATCTAGGCGCCATTTTGTGAAAATCAACTCATGATCATATCTTCATAACGGAAAGTCATTTCTCCATTCATATTGCATGTTTCTCTATCTCTACAAATCATTTTTTAATATTCCTTGATATGAAATTATTGCATCATCGGCGTATGTGTTTTTTGGGGGGGAAGTGCTGGGAGATTGCGCGGTAACGTATTCATATACATGATAAACATCAAGTGGCCAATTATTGACCCTATGTGGCACCCCATACTTTAAGTGACTCGGTAACATTGTTGAAGGTTGATGTAAAAATTGCGTAATTTGTGTATGAAATGTTAGTTGTTACCTTATATATTCCTTCTACTGTACTAATCCTCTAACATGCAAATAATCCTGAAAAATCTTTTAAATCACATAGATATTTATGTTTTTCTTTGACTGTGCAAGCTATCTAACAGTTAATTCTCCCAACCATTTTTAAATTTTCCAACATATTGCTCCGATTGTCTCATTTTCGCTCGCGTGAACATTGCCAGCACAAACCACTGACCTCTACCTCCTGGATGGATCATCGCCCATTCCCATTCACTATACGTTACGTACTAAAAGGCTGTATTGTCTGACCGTTCATGAATATTCATGTTTTGGCTAAACTCGGCAAAATGTTAGCTTTTACTAAATGGAAAAATTACGGTGGGGGGTTGGATGAAATGGACATAATGAACATAGCAGAAGTGATAATTGATAATTCATGCTCCTTATCCTTATCGTGCTTGACCTATAATCTTATAATCGCTTGGCAGACTGAGTCCAAAGTTCGACTTGTTTCACATGTGTATTATAGGCAATGGCGAGCTTGCAACCTATTTTGAAAAATTACGGTGGGTGAACTTTCAAAAGTCAATGAGACATGAGGGGTCCAATGAAAGAGCTAGTGATAACGTACGTCGGGGTGGATGTGCTTTTCGTTTAAACAAAAAATGAATTTTTAACGATTTAAAAAAAAAAAAAAAGCCATAGGCTAACATGTTAGGCTGCTGACTCTGACGATAGGGGGCGTTGCGAAATGAGACTAAACGGAGCAATATGACGATTTTTCCATGAAATAAGACATAAGACAGACTTTAAACAAAATATGTCAACACTTAAATGTCTAGAATGGTACATGTATATAAAGCCGATTCATTGCCATGTGACGATTTACATTCACCTATAAGATGTAATTTAATTGTAATAATATAGTTGGGAGAATTAACGAATCGATCAAATCAGTTTTTCCCAATTTTTATCATTAATAATGGTCTGTTTTCCCTCAAACTTTCAGATTATCTTTAATTGTACATCTAGCATTGAAGTCACTACCTTAGCACCATTTCCTCTCATCTGAACAAAGTTACCAAGTCCGTGTAAGAGTCTACACAACCTGATCTTATCACAAAGCTACAAAAGAGAGCAGCAAGAAATATTCTTAATTCCAGATACCCTCGAAAAATGTTTTTACACTATGAGTTGAAATGGATGCCCTTTAAAGGTAATACAAAGTTTTGGGAAATTTTGAAAATGGGGGGGGGGGGGGTAGTGATTCTTTACAATTCTTTACAATATTTGGATGCCCCTGTGGATGCATTATAAGCACTAGAAAGTTTAGCCCTTAAAACACTTCTGCTTTCGAGAAAAACTGAATATAAATTTTTACCTGTGCTTCCGGTAAATTTTGATACATTTCGATTAGCGTCTACGGCCGTACAATGGTAGCTGCAATCATGAAAATCTCAAAATATGTAGTTATGATATATGATTTCCAAACAGGAATAGCTAATCGGTCGATTTTAGTCAAGAAACATTGTTTTATAGCTTAATTAATACCTGGACCTTGAGAGGGAGCTATACATCATAAAGAGTTTATTATTTACAAGTTCATGACTTTAGACTCGATTTCAACCGCGACAACGATCACTGAATATTGTAGGATCGCATATGCTTCCAATAATTATGTTCATTTGAAACAAATTCACGACCCCATACCAAAACTTTGTATTACCTTTGATTAATGGACGTGTCAGAGAGTTTCGATGTGTGTTTAATCTATAAATGTATTCATGGTTTATCCGCTGATTATTATTCCAATTTATTTCATGAATTAGGTGACGTATTCAATAAGCATACAAGAACATTTGTCAGACGTGACCTTCTACTCCTAAATGCCGCACTGAGTATCTAAAGTATTAATTATGCTCCAACAACCCTATATTATTATTACTAATTCAGTTAAACCCGACCTTGGGTCTGAGATCACGTTTAACAAAGAAAAACTAACCCCCTTTGTCGAACAGAGGAAAAGAGACAAACAAAATAAATGCTCATTATATCATGTTTTTTATGATTCTTTGCACGTGACTAACATGAGATTACCATGCAATAGAATAAAGTATACATTCCTGCAAACAGCTTTAAAGAGAAGGTTGAGTTCTGGGAAGAGGTGAAAAATAATTTGTGAGCATTACTCATTCTTATTATGCAAGTGTGGATGTACATCAGTTAAGACATGTTCCCTGAAAAGCATGGCTCTTCAAATGCCTTCATATTCTAAATGCATGTAACATCGTAAAAATCGGGGGCCGGCTTTTTACGCCACGTGTTCGTGTAGTCCCATATACATCTTTCTGTGCAAGTGTGTGTAACTGTACCAAGACTTGGCCACATTTCTTATCATTTTGATGATTCCAGAACCTTGCAATACACACAAATTCTTATATGCTAGATGATCAACCTTTTCTGGTC